AGTTGCCTTACTGACATAAATGAACATTTGCATGATATTCTAATTTTTCGAGTTTCACCTGTATGTTAAACATCTATTACAGAATTTCTGGGGTTTTCTTTGTTACACCTTTTCTCAAACATACATTAGTTACAAGGAAAAAAAAACCTTGTCACCAAATGTAAAGCTACCTAACTTCCTAATAAATGAATATGCAATACATTCACTATTTAATTACAGGTCTCTTCTGATAGTAACCTGATTACAGAACTGTTTATCAACTGTTTGCTCAAAGAAATGATAGCTCAGAAATAAAAGGCAATAATCCCTGCCTTCAAAATTTTGATTTAACCATTTTAACATAAAAATAGCTGAATGTTCTGTATTTAAGTTAGAAACTGCAACAGACTCATCAGAACAGATTGTAGGGGGAAATGTACCAAAATTAAAATTTTGGAGAGAGAAATCTGGTAGAGCAGGTTACTAAAACTAATGCCACTAACAGTGAACTGAGTGCTCATCTGAGCTCTTTTACCATTATAGAAGCGATTTCCTCTGGATTGTCACCATCCAAGTCAAATTTGAAAGTAACCATTTTTCTGTTGTGTGTTTCTAGCTGACATTCCACAACCCGATCACCTTTATTTGAAACCTGGAAAAACAGAATGATTTTCAAAATGCAAAATGAATATAGAACATCAGCTACAGATGCCTTAGCTCAGTTATCTAGAGCAATGTTTATTAACCAGCGGTATGCAGTAGTAGTCTACATGGGACACAACTCTCCCTTCCCAGTTCAGAAAGTAATCTATATGAGAGAAGAGAAGCGAAGCAGAGCCACCAGTCTACAGTCAAGTGTGTTGAGGGAAAGAAAATGCACACTTCTGCAAAACAAGACGCCTCCAGGAGATTTAGGCTTAAGAACCAACACAAAATAACATTTTGTGCTAGTTATCTCCTCCCACACTAATCTCTCTCTTTCTCTCATCACACCCACAAACATACACATTTTTTGGGCAAGAGCTTAGGGAAAATCTGCCCCCACAGTGGCAAATAATTAGCTCTCACTAATTATTTTACAATGATAGCAGTAGCATCAACAACATACTGTAATTGTATATATTTGTAAAACTTAACAATAACTGATACAATAGAATAACAGGATATCTGTAAATCTCCCCCTCTCCTAACCCCTTGGAAAAAATAGACTTCTGATTTCTATCTTCTTTGACAGTAATCCCAAACTACTTAGTGCTATATTTTAACCAATACAAATATGCATTACAACCTTTTTAACATTTAACTACCACATTACAAAACAGGTAACTCACATTAAGAATTCTCAGTTTGGGACGTGTAGATTTCTCATGTCGAGAACGGCTACGTACTGATTTACGATAATGCCGCTTTGTAGTCCTCCCTTCATGTCTACCACTAGATACTGAAACACTTTCATTGCAATCACTTAAGCCTGAGGCAACATCTGAATGTGCACTAAAAAAAGAAAAAAAGACTGATGTTAGCAATATTTTCCATCTCTAAATGAAATTGGTTTTACAGGTCTACATTTCTTTTCTTTCTTTGTTTAAGGTAGTTATAGTAGGGGCGTTGTTTTTTCTTTTCACATTCAAGTATATAGAGTATTCAAGCATATAGGGTTATTTTCTTCTAAAATATACAGTTGTTTAAACAATGGCAATATATAGTTCACATATAATACTATATATTAATATCTAACACTTTCCAAGAAATGTTATTTGTAATGTTTTTTTTAAAGCTCAGTAACATTTATGTATTTTAAAAATATTTTAGTTTTTACAGCTATGTCACTCTCAGTAACACAAATAACCAAACAATGTTTATTGTCATAAATATGATTATTTGAGAAATGCAGAAAACTGAAAAACTGTTTCAAGTTTAGGATAAAATAGACCCATTCAGAATATACATCCCAGAACATACTTTCTGGGAGAAAAAAAAAAAGAATCCCTTGAGTGTTTTGTGTTTCATACCAACTGAAACATAAAATGTTGTGAATATTTAACCAAAAGGAATAATGGGAACTGGAAACAAGCTCCTTGTTCTCTCTCTTTTTTATGCTGGGATCACAATTTAGCTATATGTTATGCTGACTGTCACCCAACTACCCAATCAACAGGAATTTGGCAGAGATTATGAATATTGTTATTTATTTACTAAATTTATATAGCTGCTTATCTCACATATGTGACTCTATGTTATTATTACTCTTTAAAACTCCCACAGCAAACAATGAAAGCAACACCTTAAATTCTGTTTTTGCAGTCTACAACTATAATAGCCCAGCAAAGAACATCAGAGTATAATTTACTATAGTACAACCCATGGATCCTAACAGCAGCAAAATACATCCTTCTCTGGGTGCTAGCTTGGGTGCTGGCTCCCTAAAGCACAAGTGAAGGAATTTGGCCACTTGCCAACTTTGCTCAAAAAAAAGGGGAAAAAAGCAACATAGTCTTTGCATTTAGCATGAAGCCTCAACAACAGTGTCCACATACTAAAGCTCAATAATAAAGAAGCAATTTTGAATAACTTACAATCTGAAACCTCAACATTATTATTAGCAGTGGTTCCTCTGAGCCTAAACATGTGGTTTTACAACTGCCATTCTCTCCAACCAACCTTCCTCCTCGCTCCATCAGTCCCAGCCAATAGCAGTAGGGATGGAACTAATACCTGCACTGTCAAGTTGGAAGCATGTTTAAAAAGGGGAAAAAAACAAACAAACCCTCAAGTCAATCATGAATTAGAAATCAACAAACTAATGAGGACACTCAGAACAAAACAGACTGCAACAGCCTAATTTTGTTTTATGCTCAAAACAAAGTAAGTATGTTTTGTTCCAGGATTGGGACAAAATCTCAGAAGATGGGTGTTTTGTTTAAAGCATGGAACAGCACGCACCAAAATGAATATATTACAATAGTCCAATAAATCAGAATACTATGCAATTTTCTACTGTATGATATTACATACTGTAAGAAAGCTTCATCTTCTTAAAGAGTAACAAGAAAGGCATTATTAGGTTACTATGCTAAATATATCAGGTTGCATGCTCTAAGTATCTCAGAAAATTTATTCCAATTTGAAAAACACAGTTTTAGCTTACATGCAAAATTAACTAAAAACATTCTCAAATCTGAGAATAAGAGAATCAGATTCTCTGCTATCATAACTATCTTTCCAAAGCAGTAGTTTACTATTTACCTGTCTATTGAAGAAACTAATGGAGTTGATTGTGAAGGTTGCTGCTGTATTGAGGGCTGAGGCTCTGCAGGTGCAATCTGAGTGATTCCAGGAGTTGTACTCTGCAATGAGAAAGCTTAACATTCAATTACCTTCTTAAACTGTTTCTTTTAATCTGGTATCATAGTCCATCCATCTATGCAACTACAAGCTGAAAAGCACTCTCTCTAGATCTTTTAAAGCATCTAAGTGAGTTCAAACTGTTAACTTTCAGAGGGTTCCTCGTGCAAATTCAAGAAATCAACCATTAGATTAATGTGACAACAAAGCTTGCCATGCAACCAGAAATCTTACTAACAGAATGTGCAACAGAAAAGCCAATGCAGAATGCAGGGATAATTCAAATCTCTTCCAGTAACAACAGGTCTGCAGAGAAGAGTTTTGAGGAAAGATTTTTCCAGTGACTACTGAGAATATTGTATCTTAATTAAAGGGCATTACTAGCCAGAAGAGAAGTGCTAGCAAGTAATTTGCATCTGGGAGGCCCACTCACTTCCCAACAGCACAGCCAGGTGCAACAAGGTTTCCACATTGGCATCACATTCTGCTGTAAGAGAAATTCATTTGAAAGTTAACATATTATCTCAGCTGGAATCTGAAAATGGGACTGGATCTATAACTAATGCTTTGAAATTCAGTTTCTAAAGTACATCCCCAGCAACATGCAGATCATCAATTTACCTCTAATGCTGTCTGCTGTGTGGAAGCAGACTGTGGCACTTGAACCTGTCCTCCTAGACTGCCCAAAGAAACTAAAACATTCTGTTCCATGTAAGGCTGCCCTATTGCAGCAAGATAGCCTGGCTGAGCCAATGCATCTGTGGGCAAAGGAGGGGACAATACTGCAGAAGGAAGGCAAGCAGAAGCCACAGAAGAGGAAGCAATATTTGAGTCTCCAATATACTGTGCTGGTAGCCGAGGTGGGAAGCCCTGTGACAAATGAGGAAGCCGTGTTAGCTTATTTTAGTGTGACTGGTATGAAACAGTATGAAATAGATGGGAAAGGAGAAATTGCAAGCCAGGCTGTTAAGTTTCTTTTCCCCAACCACCAGTTTAGACTTAGCCTTATTTCAGCAGCTTTATACCATATTGCCTTAGGGTCAACTTTATCTTCCAAGCCATCATGCAGCCTGTATCTCTGTAGCAAGCAACTACTACTCTCTGAAAGAAGAGCTTGAGCTGCAAACACTTAAACTTCAAAATGAACAATGCTAGTCAAGATAAAGCAAAAAATCCCCATTTCATCTAATCCCCCTCTCCCATTTTTTTTTATTCTAGAGATGTGTTTTACAAAATACAAAAGTACTATGGCACATGGCAAGCAAACAGGATTTTCATATTCTAAAATTAGAAAGAATATGCTAAACAGATGTTCACAAGGTGAACTGCAATGGAAAGCACTACAGAACAAAAAACCAACCAACCAAAACTATATCTTGCTTGTTCTCCAAGTCAAATGTACCTTCTAGTTCAGTAGTTGAAAACTGATCGGCCAAAATTTCAAAAATTCATCTTAGCAACCTATCACTTGCTTCAAGCAATTCTAATGAAGCATCTGAATTATGATACATCCCTCCTTATATTTAAGCATGAGATGGTGTGTAGAGATTAAACTAATTTTTGGAACTTTTAATTTTAGTTTCTAAGTTTTTAACTTTTAACACTATTAATAAAATAATAATAGATGCTACTTCTTAAAATAAAAGCATCACATTTTTTTTAAAAAAGGCTCCAGTTCTTAGATACAGATTTTAGTTTTAAATCAGAAGATTCCCATGTATGCTGATAAATTATCTTTTTCTATTTATACTTCTTCCAAGTAAAGCATAGCTGCTACACTCAGGATTCTTCATGGGAATTAAAACATGGGGGGAACTTATAAGATTGCAGAGAGGGACTCTTGCTTGACCCCCAAAATACCTGGTATAGAGCATCTGTAGCTGGAAGTGGTACTTCAGCAGTTTGTCCCAGAGTAGAAGGTAAACCCATGGATTGAACACCTGGCTGAAGAAGTTGTGGGAGCACCTGGCTGGACAGCTGAGCCACAGGCTGCAGGAGAGTTGGAAGCTGGCTAGGAACAACAGTTGAGCCCACAGGAATAGCAGCTGCTGCAGCAGATGTAGCCAGAGTAAGCAATGGCTGGTTAATGCCAGCTGCCATAGAAATGGATAGAGATGGGAAGCACGGCTGGGCCACAGACACATGAGGTGCTTGTATGGGCATCTGAGAGGCTGAGAACTGTGGAAGAAGCGGGGGTTGTATGGGCTGTCCCATTGAGAGGAAATGAGACATGACTGGGGCAGCTGAAGACTGAGCAAGGGAAGGTGCTCCCATAGGTAACTGTGATTCACCCTGGATGATCGGCACTGTTTGGGAAACAGGAAGCTGGGGAGGTAAAGAAAAATAGAGATAGATTTTTAAGAAGCAGGGTTGCAAAAAGCATGTTCTTACTGCATTAGTCCAAGAAAGAAAAAATAGTTACATTTTACTTAGCAAGAGAGCATAAAAATATATTTGGTAGACTAGCAGGAAGGTTTCTTGGCCAAGAAGTAAAGGAGAAAGCAGCAATTTTTAAAGGAATGTTCAGTATTAGATTATTGAGCTGTTGGTTCCAGGTTATATACCCAGGTATAGTTTCAAAATTATACACACCAAATGTATTTCACCTTTTTCAAAAACCAGCCTATTACAGAATTTTAGATCATGTCCATACTCATGCTGGCAAGTCTTCCCATTTCATAAATTGATGTCCCTTATGCTAGTTAATGCACCTTTACTATATTCTTCTAGGCAATATATTTCTGTTATCTATATTCTGTATTTATTATCCACATGAAAGTACATTTCTAAACTTTAGAAAGCCTGGATGGTGGCCTAGAAATCACCAAGTTGTAGTTTACCTGTGTCCCAGCAGGTACCTGAGGCATAGGCATTATTTGTGCTTGTTGCGTTACTGGCTGTAATGGAGCAGCTCCAGTGGAAGCTGATGGCTGTGGAACCTGGTATTGCCCAGTCTGCTGAGAGGTGGCTGGCTGCTGGGTAGTCTATAATGGAAGAAATGAAGTAGAAAAGAAAAAGCACTTTATCCAGAAATATTACATTAAAAAAACCACCCTATTTGGAATAGGTGTGCAAGTATGGATTCCATGGGAAGGAGGAATCATACTGACACTAAAATGCAATGAGCACTAAAATGCAACTGATCCTCAAATACTGTTGGACTCCTCAACGTCGGGGTTATTTGGAATTGTAATTCAACATTTAGAGGCAACCAGTATTCTAAAAACTCATTTGGACATTAACATTCATAGTCAAATAAATTTAGGAAGATGAAGTCCTCCTTTTTCAACTTCAGAACAGGTTTCCTGTTTGGTTAATAGCTGAATTAACCAACTTCGCATTTAATTGAAATCAGTTGTTATTCTTCTTAATGCTTGTCTGGCATGCGTATACTTGTTTCTGCTTGCCTAGTTCTTGCAGCAAAACTATCAATGCGTGATGCAATTAGGGGTTTTGTTTATCTGCTGGCTTGTCACAGAACCTGATGCTAATTAGGGCTGAAAGTGCTGAGAGGGAGTGACTGGCCAAGTAACCCTGTTGGCTGCTGTGTCTAAGGAAAGTGAAAATACTAAAGCAAGAGTGGAGTTAAATACAGGTAGTTTTCGCTTAACAACAACAACGACAGGGACCGAGTCACCATGTGACCGGACCCAATTTTATGACCATTTTTACAATGGCCATTAAGCGTATCATGTGGTCGTTAAGCAAATCCAGCTTCCCTAATGGATTTTTTCCCCCAATTCGCTTAACAATCACATGTTTCACTTAATGGCCAGGCGATTTGCTGAACAACCAACGTAAAAAAGGTCACAAATCACAACCATGTGACTGCGGGGGCATGCACGATGGTTTGTGAC